AAAAGGATGTGTGTTGTTGACAGTAAAAATGTGATTATAAGAATTAGATTTTGGAAATAGGAATTTTGCTGATTGTTATTTAAGTTTCGTTTTTGTAAGACAGAGGATATCAATATTATTAGAGTGAAAAAATTATAAGATATTGTCTGTTTTGCCTGGTGAGTTCAGGTCTCTTATATTTAGGGTGCATATTCTTAATGTGTTTGATAATTTGGTACTGATGTTATTGAAGGATGGAGAGTAAGTGTTTGTTATATTATTATGTGTGCTATTTGTGAAGACAGAATTGTTATAATGTTGAAAGTAGATTGTGTTTTATTGTTGTTGTGAGAGTACATTGTTAATATTTTGTTCAAGTTGGAGTAATCTTTTACTGAGAGTATTGTATGATTCGTAGAGCTGTTTATTTTGATTTGTGAGTTCATTAATTGTGACATCTTTTTGATATAGTTGATTGATGAGCTTGTCAAAATAAAGAGTTTTGTGAGGAGTATTGATGGTGTTATCAATAAGTTCGTCATTCTGCATGAACATGTCATTGATGTTGTCATTATGATTATGTGAGACAGTTGTATCATCAAATTGTGTGTGAGTAAAAGTTTTTGAACTTGGTGTTTGAGTGGTAAGAGTGTTGAGAATTTTATCTAGCTTGGAGTCGAGTTATTAAAATTTTGCCATAATGTTGTTGACGTCATTTCTAAGTGAAGTGACTGCATTACAAATAGATGAAATTGAGTTTAAAGAATTGTCAATAGGAGTATTGTGAAAGTTATTAAGGTTTGTTTAATTCCAAGGACGTAGCATAGGTGACCTCGTGTTATCTGAAAGATTAGTCTGCCTTTCTGTTTTTTTGGAAATTGTAAATGAATTCTGTAAGAGAGCTTGTTTGTATGATTTTTTTTTGTAGGAGTGGGTATACTGATTTCTGGTTTATGAACTTCCAATCCTCTTTTTTGATATAACTTGTTTAGTTGTTTGTATTGAATAGAATGATGCAATTTACTCTTGCAAATTGAAGCTTGATGTCCTATTTTAAAGCACATGTTGCATGTGATAGCTGTAGGTAGTTC